AGCATTTAATATTGAGCTTTCTAGAGGTCAGGGCAAAAAGGAAAACCTTGTTGGATCACATAGCCTTCATTTTTTCCCCCCTCAGTCCAGAACCCTGAGAATCATTGGGTATTTATGGACTTTATCAATTTTTAGAAATCTTCTCTTAGTCTAATTTTTATTTTTAAGTTCCAACATGGAGTGAGGTATTCCCTTTTAATTAAAAAAAATAATTTAATATAATCCTTTTATAGCTAATGTCTTTGTGCACACAGATTATTCATATCCTTGGGACTGTGAAATAGTTTTCATCTATAAATATAAATCTCATCTTTCATGTCCATTCCCCTGTGGGAAATTTAAAAGGCTTCCTTTATGTCCTATGCAAAAATGTTTGTGTAGTTCTAGGAGAGTTTATGCCTACAGGGTTCTCTTCAGATGATATAAGGAGCTGTCGAGGAGCAGCTTTCTGGAAGCCTGTTGCATGAATGTATGGATCTTCTCATGTCATATATGCTACAAAAGCTGTTGACAATGAGAAGTAGTTTTACATGTTGAAAAAGCTTGGAAGGAATATTTCAGGGAAACCTTTTATAGACTGAATGTTCTCCCTTAGTTTTTCTAAGCATTGCCAACATAGTTGGAATCTTGCTTTACTCCTCATTTTGCTTACAAAGTTAGTTCCTTTCTTTTTTTCATGCATTTGTCTCCTTGACTCCCTACTTTCTCACAATGACTCAGGAAAAATAATTAATGAGAGTCAAAATAAGATGGATTGGCAACATCGGAACACATACTTTTAAATCTCCATCACTGAGATGATCTAAAAGCTACCCATACAGTAATTGGCACCAGTAAGGTAGGCCTAGTACCAAAACCTTGTAAAAACATTTTCTCAGTGCCCCTATTTTTTTTTTTTTAATATTTACTTATTAATTTATTTTGCTGCACCAGGTCTTAGTTGCAGCATGCAGACTCTCAGTTGCGGCATGCATGTGGGATCTAGTTCCCTGCCCAGGGATCAAACCCAGGGCCCCTGCATTGGGAGCACGGAGCCTCAACCACTGGACCACCAGGAAAGTCCCGCCCCTATTTTTAATTTTAATTTTTTTAATGTTTTGGTGTTTTTTTTGTCACCCAAGGGAGTGCTTTGAATTGTTACCCCGTGGTATTGGTCAGCATAGTTAGTTATGGACTGTGGCATCACTGAATATAACATTGCTTTTGATAACTGTAGGCTATGGCCCCAGCTCCTGGACTCTGTGCCCTCCTAGCAGGATCCTTCTTTACTCCTGACCTCTCTGCTATTCTCCCTGGCTTGGGACGGACAGGAGGCATTGAGCTGACATGTCCACTATCCCAGGGTTTCCTTTGTAGCCACACCGGGAATCAGGGTACTGGAGTCTACATTGCTGTCTTCACAGCATGCCACTTGGCCAAAATCCTCAAATAATGCATGTCGCCAAGCTGCAATCTATTTTTTATGTCCCAGGAAGGAAAATCTATTCACTGTTTTGAGAGTCTATTCCTAGATCAAAAACTCCTGAGAATTCTGCACCTGTTGGAAGTGAGCAGACGCTCCACAGCCTATACTTTCAGTCTTTCTCCCTTTCTTCCCTTCCTTCCTGTGAAATTTTTGTGACCTGGAAGCATATTAATGTTTTGGAATCTGTTTCATTTTTACAAAAGCTAATATGTTTCAAAGTTAAATATCACACCTTATTTTCACTAGTCATAACTAAGTTGCATGTTTCAAAAGAAAGTCACTTTTTCTGGGTGTAGATTTGGTGGGGTGAGGGCCAAGGAAGAGAGCCTATGAATGAATCCACGTAGAAATAGTAAAAGGTTCTGATCCTCTGGGAGGAAGGAGAAAAATAACAAAACCCTGATGTACTATATTTTATCCATTATGTCTGCTGAGAAATTAGGGTCGGGACCCAGAAGCTTTGCTCTATCTCCTGGTGTTTATTTCAGCTCAGGTGGGGTGGGTTTCTCCTTTGGATGGGTCATTTCCTTCTCTCCTTTCACATTCCAAGCTGCATTAAGATGACAAATTTCACATATAGGGCTCGGGCACGGTCATGAAAACCTGAGCTATTGAGCTAACAGAGTGAGTGCGGAGGAGTCGATTTATGGTGGGGAGAAAGGGAGCTTTTGACGAGCACAAAAGATTTGGAGAGCCCAGATCTGCATCAGAGCACACATGGGATGGCCCGGATGCCGCCCACAACCACAGACCCTGCTCTTAAGCCTCATCACAAGTCTCAAGGGTGGAAGAGAAATGCGAAGGTAGTTAAGAAACGTCTTTAAAGCTCATACTCATATCCTAGACTGCATCGCTCGCAAATGAAACTTTTTTTGGACATAACCTTATAGTGGACTTTGCAGAAATACTTAGGGTGAAATAAGTAGAATAATGATCCTGTGTCCTTTTCTATCTGTGAACTCTGCAATAAATACTTCTCTTTTCCTACCCCGCTTTTAGTAAGGAAAAAAAAAATCTTGGACAGCAAAGAGCAAGTCCATCACATCAAACATGACTGTGTTAAATACTAAAATGTTCAAAGTCCGACTGAGATAGATAAAAGCTTTGATGGAAAGTGGATATTTCCCAGGGACATTGCAAGCAATAATCCAGATGTTAGAGTGTAATGCAACGAGTGTCCGTGGATAGATCAGGAGCTCCAGCCAAGCCGGGCCTGATGTAGGCCTTTGCCTTGCCCTCCCATGCTGTTCCGCCATATGGAACCTATCTCTGGGCCCCCTTAATAACCAGCTTTGGATTCCATTTTCACAGAGCTCATAGAGCTAAGTGGGGCTGTTTTATGGACAAGTTAGAAGCCTTTCCAAGATAAACATCCAATTTGAAATTAGGACATACCAAGCCGCAAAATTATTTTAGGGCATATTTCATGGAAGCACTGCCATTTTTCTTAGGCAATTGCCAGACTGTAGGATGCCCTTTGATCCCTTGTGGACATTACTCCCTTCTTTATAAAAAGGATTTTGAAATAGTTGCAGTGTTTAGGGAGGAATATATCTGTCGGAACTTTGAAGCATAGCCATGGGACAGGTCATGCTTCAGCTTGTTGGTCGGCAAGTCGAACTTTAAGAAGAAAAAACATATAAAAGCAAAGTGCAGCAGGATATATGAATCAAAATCTCATTTTCTTTTTAAAGATAGAAATTTTCAGCCCATGTGCTTACTAAGCTAGAGAATGTATTAAGTGTATCTACATCTGTATGCACACATATAGATTATATACATATTTATATATGTATCTGTCTATATATTGTGATGGTGTGCATTGTTTTTAGCACATATAAAATTACTTAACTTTATTTCATACACCTTCATTATTGAATATATTCTGTCCACAACCCAACTGCAAATAGAAGTTAGAGAAAGAATTGTTCATGTTTTCCAGAGGAGAGGGTTTTTTCTTTTTTAAAAAAATTACTTATTTTCCCATCTCCCTTTCCTGCTCTGTTTCAGCACCTCCAAACCCCTGTGTGTATGTGTGCATTTGTGTGTGTGTGTGTGTGTGTGTGTGTGCATTTGTGTGAATTCCAATTTCAAGAGAAAAGCAACACAGATAATGAAGTTGGGAGTACAGATTTCCTTAAAAGTATTTTGTTTAAGGAAATCATAAAATGATCCAAACACTTGGCATTATTGCATCATTTATTAGGGGTGGTGGAGTGACGTGTGTTGGATGAGGTAAGCTGGCATGTAATTAACATGGCACTGACATACTCTTTGTTGTGATAAATTGTGACTAACTGGTCATCAAACCGAGCAAATTGATGCCTAAATTATCTCGAAGATAGAGTGAGCAGATGACAGGAATGAATATATAGTGTTAGAAATTCATTGCTTTACTATGATACCATCTACCTTCTTCAGCCCATTTATTTCTCCCTCAAATCAAGCCGTCCACACTCTGTGCCATTTCACTTATTGAACAGAGAACGTGAATGAACTCCGCCAACTGAATGCAGCCTGCAGATCGTGTAGGGTATCCTCACTCAAACAAACTAACCTTGAGACCTTCAGGGCATTTAACAGTATTAAAGGAATCATGGTTACTTGTGTTGAGTGTGATCATAGCATGGTTCTTATGTAAAAACAAACAAGGATTTTGCTTTCAAATATTTCAGGCAGAAAAAAAAATAGTGAAGGGATAGGTGAAATAAGGTTGACAAAATGTCAAATCTGATAAATAAGCACATGGAGGTTTGTTGTTCTATCTTTGTGTGTGTTCGAAAATTTACATAATGGAAATTAAAAATAAAGTGTGCTTGGCCTCTTTATAATTTAATAATAGGGGATATTTGCCTTTTTCTATATTCTGTTTAAGGTGTGTGTGAGTAATACAATGTAGAAAAGGAAAAAAAAATAAGGTAACAAGTTACTGAACCCCTACTGGGTCCCAGCCATGGGGCTGTGCTCTTTACGCAGCCTTCCCTCTGCAAAGCTCATTTGGCTGGCTAGCTGATTACAGGCTATATCTGGAGTTGTGAATCTCACAGTGGTGTTAGGCTTTTTAGATGTAGCCCAAGGAATAAAGGGAAGTGGGGACAGATTCAAGTGTGAAGGATAAATTCAAAACCGTAATTTCTAAATGCCCAGAGGTATTTTGTTTCCCTGAAAAGCAATGTCTGGTTCTTATATCTCTGTTTCCCAGAATGCCTTTCTTCCCTTCCTACTATTAAAATAGCCAAAGGCCCAGCTGAAGGATTCCTACCAAAGAGCACATCTAGGTGGGAGTACAGGCCAGTGCCAAATGCAAGTGTTGTTCGAATTCATGCTTTGCTATATGTTTCAAGTCCAATGCTTGAGAAGGAAGTCACATAACTGTGATTGCAGGTTTGCAAAGCCAGTGAAGAATATTAACACTTTTACCAGGCAGGGAGTGCTATTTCTAATCAAATATTGAAAGCTGGAATTCCTCTGATCACCAAAGTCACACTCAAGAATTATCAGCAAGTTTATATGTTATCTTTATTTTTTGCTTTAGTCCTCTTTGATACGCAACCTCCGGCTCTCAGAGTTCTTGAAAAAGAACCAACTCTGGAACGGGATTATAAGTATAACTTTGTTGGAAGGAAAGAATGTCTCAGGAGGAAGCATGACAGAGATGTTTGTCCAGTTAAAACTGGGAGATCAGAGGTATAAAAGTAAGGTAAGTTCTGTCAGTTCCTTAAGGAGAACAATATCTTTAAGATTAAAACAATGGAAAAAAATGTTTTCCCACTCTAAACTTCGCAAGAACAGAATTTATTTTTAACCCTCCTAACTGTATTAGGAGCAACCCAGAAAACAAAATAATTGTATAGGTGCAGTCTATTAATATGGATATTTGATTGCTTAGTATAATCTATTTTAATATACTAAACTAAAGCTAGAGAAAGCTTATTAAATAATAGATTTGAATGCATGGCTTATTTTTGTTTTGAAAATAAGCAAACTATGTTTCAGAGAATGAGGGAAAAAGATTACTAAATGCTTTCAAAATCGTATAAAAATAAAATGGTATAGTATGTTATAGTTGGATTAAAATATTTGAGTTAACTAAACATGTTTTCAAAATTATGTACTCCGGGCTTTCTCTAACTTGTTGGTATGAACACTAAAAATAGACATCTAGTGCTGCTGGGGGTTTTTTTGCTGTGATTTTTTTTAAACTCTCTAAAAAGTATTAAAAGTGATTTGTTTTGACCAAAGGTAATGGCTGTTTTTAGCCGTCTTTAAAAATCAATCATCTTATTCTGCTGATCCAACTTCCATTTAATTTTTAATCTCAGTAATTTGGTGTGGTTTTTATTTCAAAAACACTAGTCTCCAAACCATGGTAATTAATTAGTTTTACATAACTGTCAGACAGAAATATTTCCTATGTTTTATGGATTGAGGGAACTAGGGTACTTGAAAGTTAAGTCATTTGCCAAAAGCCACATAGGAAGAAAAACATCAGTGGAAGATTTTGAAAATAGGCCTGAGGATATCTGCAGTTTGGGCTTTCGAGTATAGAGGACTTAACTGAAGCAGGCTAGTTAGAAAATGATTTAGGGGGGCAAGAGGTTTTCTCTGCTGCACAATTTTCAGTGCAGAATCAAATATGAAATGTCATTTACTCCACAAGGAGTAGAGAATTGAAGCTCATATTGAAGAATCGTTTATTATAAGAAACGCAAAAAATTGAAGACAAGTTACAGCAGAAATATACAGATAATTATTTTAACCAGGCAGTTTTAGGCTGTACCTCACAGTGAGTATATCCAGGATGACCACAGCTCTCCACTAAGATTCCTTTAACGATCCAGGGTCAGGGTAAGGATTTATAGAAAAATTATTCATCACTAAGCACATGCACCCTTTTAGACTAAGGGGAAGTGTGGAATTAGTCCAGTATCTGCTACGTTCCCCCTTGGGGAATATTACACTTAATTTGTGGTCTAATAGTTTTTTTTTTTTTCTTCATGGTTTCAAAATGCCGTGAACTGATATATTTAAGCCCGATGATGATGAAAAACAGCGTAAATGATGTTACGTGATGTTGGCTGCAGCTGAGGTCTGAGCAGTCCCTGTTTTCTCATGCGGGGATACTTGGCCCCAGGATTTAATAGTTGGCCCTGAGGTCCTGATACTTAGTGGCCTGCGTTTTTGCTCACTTTTTATTCACAAATTGAATCTCTGTGTGAATGAAACAAAAATGAAAGTCCTGCCAATGAATCAAACACACAAGCAATTTGAAATCACTCTCGGAGAACACAGGAACACTTGTGGAGTTTTCAGACCACGCTTGTTAATTTTTAGGTTTGGCTGCAGTGGAATTTCATAGTCTTCCTCTCATTCTAGTGACGGGATTCAGTAAACTTGGATTTAAAAATAGGCAGCAGCCTACAGGTTACGGGTTTCTCATGTAATACATCTGACAGATGTTAATTAAGACCCCAGACTGTTAATTCATATAGTTCTTAAGCCAGTAATGAATGGATGTGCCAATAAAAATGTTACTTCCATCTGATTAACCAATTAGTATCTTTCATAAGAGAGAACACCTGTAAAATGTCTATTGAGATATATTATATAGAGAGCATATCTCAGTAGTCATTATTGTATGTGTGTAATAAATATTATATAATAAATATATATATATCAAAAGTATGTGTTTTATATATATATATAAAATTTACGGTTTCTTTTGGGATAACAGGGTTTCTCCAAATTTGGTGGATAAATTAGTGAGTCTGGGGAGTCAGCTAAAAAGAGTATGATGTTTGGCCAGTTCCCGAAACCTTGAAGTCCCTCTCGTTTCCAAAAAGAAAAGTTTAACTTTATAAGAGCAATTATAACCATAATTATGATCTTCTGCTGTTTAGAAATGAAATGAATGTGTAGCTGCTGTAGGAATGAATGCCATTTTAAGAAAATAAATAATATAACTGCATGTTTTCTAGACACTGTGTAAGAGTGCAAATCCGCAGTGGCAGGAACAGTTTGACTTTCACTACTTCTCTGACAGGATGGGCATTTTGGACATTGAAGTGTGGGGAAAGGACAGCAAAAAGCACGAGGAACGTCTGGGCACGTGAGTCTGCTCTGCTTTTTAAATGGTGGGAGATGTGTCTGCATTGAGGCTGGTCTGAGGGAATATCTTTATCTGTTTGAGCTTAGAATAAAACCTCATATCCCCACCCCAAGGAGCCATAAGTTAGCTGGGCCCTAACCTGGGGAAAGTTTTTTTCATTTTTTCAATTTAGTATTGATTACAACAGAAGAAAATTGTATGTGCCAGGAAGTCTCTAAAGAAAGATAATGTACCATCTCAGACTCTTTGGGAAATGTTGGTATAAGTGTCCAATGCACCCTATGATTTGGGTTTTGCTACTTAGTGAAATACCATATAATTTAGTAACACTGTGAAGCTAGGTGTCCCAAATTGATGGAAACTTTTCAGTGTCCTTGATGAACTTTGTGGCAAATCATAATGAAATCTACTGAGGCCAAATTTGTTTTATTTCTTTACTTTGGACCTTCCCAACTTAACTGAGGGGCTCACTCGTACATAACAAAAAATAGTGTAAGTACTATTGCTTCCTTATAGGATTGTAGTAAGAATATAGTTAAATACAATTGTGCCTGCACTGTGACTGCTCCAGTTTGAGCACGAAGGAGATGCTGGTGGAAGCGTACATCTCTGATCTTTCTGATAGCCCTGCAAGTTCGTGGTATTATTTTTGTTTTATAGATGAGGAAATGGAGTGCAAGAGGTTTGCATACATCTTCGCTGTAGACTTCAGAGCAGCGAGTGCGAGAGTCAGGATTCTGTGTTTTCAAAGACCAAGTTTTTCCCACCAAACCACTGCCTTTTGTTCAGCCCATATGCATACAATTTGTCCACCAGTCCTAAGTATAAGCATTTAAAGGGCTCTCAACGGCTGTTTGTGGGCTTTTTCAAACCAAGTTCTCTGGAACCCTGGGTTCAGGGAGATGCCTTGGGGTCACCCTTGGAGAACGGGGGTCTCCTGAAACCAGAGCATCTCCACTTTTACCTGTGCTCTACATTGGTAGAGCTCCATTCGAGGGAAGAGTTTCCTGC